CAGACTGCGTCAACGAGAGGGTGCGGCAACATCGGCTTGTATCTTGTGTGCCATTTGCATATAGATTGTCTCTTCCGGTCAGACGGCCGCCCAAGATGACACACGTCCTTGGTCATGCTACCAGAGCTGCATATTTATGTAACCTTATTATGTGGCTAATATATTGAATCATGATTTCGGATCGTAATAATTCATGAATAATTGGGTCAGTTTCATAATCATACGAATTAGCTGCGATAAAGCAAAAAAACATTAACACGAAAAATGGTTTTTCTCAAACATGCTCGGAAATGTTTGCATTATTTAGAAAAAACGAAACGGAAAGTTTGTCATTTGTGGACCATGCGATTTCTTCCCGGCCAAGGCCTACAAACTAAGTACCTATGAAAATCCATTAATGTCCACTTCTCTAAACTTTTAAATCTACCTACTAATAATCTACGTAAACAGGCAAAAGAAAAACTCATACAGCCAACTGCCCAGCGTTCATATTTGCGGGAATTAAAAATACCTAACTGTATAGCGTAATTAAAAAAAGGAAATGGCGGTAACATTATGACTAAAGTGTTTTGGTATACAAAAAAAAACGAAAAACAAAATATTCTTTTGTTTTGTCGTTTTTTTTGTATATTTTAGTCGCGAAAATGAGTGCTAGTAAAAAGAGGCTTTAACGAAAATACAGCAATAGGTACACATGCAAACACATCATCAGAAGTTCAGCAAACTACTATTAACGTGCCTGGAAAAACAATAACATTATTTTAACAATAGTCCTAACCATAGGTCCTAACACGTTAAACATATTATTACTTTTAATATTAATTAATATTTATTACTTTTCTATTATACATTTTCTCTTTAGTCTTTTATTTCCTCACATTGTTTGAGAAAAATACTGCACATGCCTCGACCGGAACGGGGATTGTTTGACTCGTATTAAATATTTACAAGACGTCACTGGCGCTCGTCCTTGTAACTCATACTCGTCCAGCATTCCCTTACTTTCCGGCCTCTGCAATAATGTGTTATAGTAGCAGTTAGAGGTCCTTGTGAAAGAATTTGTCAACTACGGAAATACTGCTACCTTATTTCTGCCGCCAAGCAGTAATGTGAACTTTACTGCATTCCGGTTTTGAAAGTTAAGTGCTGGTGAAATTACGGAATGGGAATTGTCAACTTATGTCTCAGGGTGACTTGCTTTGCGATTTAAAGCTCTGAGTGCCACTGTTTTGGACATGCGTGTCGCTTACCACCAGGTAGGCCTAGTACAATAGGGTACGACTTGCGCGAGAGCGACATAAAGCGCGAGATACTGCTATTCTCGCATAGCGATTCCGCGCTCTAAGTTGCTCTCGCGCATGTCGCGCCCTACAGGCGCACGACTTGTCCGTCCCGTCACCTGATATGGAAAAAAAATTTAAAATGCAATTTAAAACAATTTATAGTAGATAGAAAATATAATTCTATATACGAGACAAAAGCATACGAGTAACTTTAAATAGGTACCTGCAAATAATATCATCAATCAACAGCACAATGAATCGGCTATTAAATTTTTAACACACGTAATAAATCTGTTTACCATTACTAAGCAAAATTAACGGCTAGATTAGTCTTCATCAGAGGTGTTTCCGCACGATACGGAGCCATAAAACGAAGAAAAGAAGCTAATTTTTCAGCGAATCATCTCCGTCCGCCATGAAGTCATCAATATTCATTTTGCGGCACGCCTCCGAAACAAACACCTTTCCGAAGGAGCATAACGCGCTTCCTTTGAAGGTAACTATGGCAGGACCGAGGGGCTGGCTAACTCAATTTATATGGATAATTGCCTTGTTTCACTAGAGCCACGCGACCTCAATATAAGGTTTCTTCAAAGAATAAAAATTATTAAAACAAAACATCTGTTCCAATGTATAGACATTACTGAAACTTTATATATTTATATTACTAAAACATCTGTTCCAATGTATAAACATTGGAACAGATGTTTTACATAATATTTGTATATTGCTTGATAATACAAAACATTCGTGTGCTTGGTAACATTAATCTAATTCAACTAGTTTTTGAAAGTGTATGAAAACATAGACGAAACAAAAACATGACCTGCATGGATTCTGTTATTTGAATACTGGACTGTGAAATCACCGCACAATGCTACTCGAATCAATCAATATTCTGAATTAGGACTTGCAGTGAATAATTTTGGATGATGTAGCCGCAAGGCTGCAGGGTGGTATCTCGACAAATAGATGTCTATACGGCTACTTCATGTACCCTGAGTAATACGATCTCTATCTTGCCATTAACATTATTATTATGCACACACCGAAATCTTTTTGGTGGAAATGAATATATAGTGTAAAATTTTGATTAGACTGTGATATAGATATAGGTAGGCACATAGAACCTAGATTTTACTTTATTTATTTGTGCATTTATTTAATGGTTTATACTCCACGCAAATGTATAAATAAAGATGTGTTATTTGATTAGGAATTAAATGTTGCAGGCTGGTAATGAACACTGAGATTGCAACATCCGATAGAACTTTTTAACACGCAGCGAGACCAGAAGAACGCGACAACGACCGGCCTGGCCCGGGATCGGTGCTGCGTGTGCCACTCCGCCCGAAACTCCCTGGTTACGAGCCACTCGTGTTTATTTTACCGCAATGAATTCCTTGCAATATTTTGTTCGTTTTTTTTTTAATTTTGAATACATTTGAGTACAATTCACTGTGGCCGTTGCGCGCCCTCGGCAATCTCCAAATTGCCTTTTTATGTGCAGATGTTCCGACCCTCCGGTTTTTCCGTCTTTTGAATGTCGTTTGCTGTTAAATAACGTGCTCTTTTATTGTAATTGGGATTTTAAGTTTACTTCCGATTTTGACTACCGCAATGTTTGTGGGCACGTAAAACACCAATGTTAAACGGATTATTATGTTCTCTTTAGAATATTATGTTTCTGGTTTTATTAACGCTTTTCTTTTGTACTAGTGTAGAAAGCAGATAACAATTTTATAGATATCCAAGAAATAATTGAATATAACAGTATAGTGTTTATTTTTAAAAACACTTGGAAAGGGTTATTATTTTGTCCCTTTCACATTTTAAAAGTAAAAGAAAGGGCACTTCTGGAAACACGATTTTAAAAATTGCCTCTTAAGAAGGGAGTTGCTTTGAATTAAATTTTACTAAAGATCACAATTACACGTTTTGCAAGATTCAAACTCATTTCTTTCTCCTCGAACAAATTATTTCTCGTGAAGCAAATTAATTCGTTGGCATTTGTATACTTCTTTCAAAATCTGAATAAACTTGGGCGAGATTTCATAAAAAAATAAACGAGTAGAGAGCCCGCGGCAAAGGCGAATTACATCGTCATTTACAAGTAAGAGTAAGTATTTCCATTTTGACTCGCTGGAGATTTGGAATGAAATACTTGTAATTATGTACCTGCGTTTGGCTCCGAAATTAAAAGACTTGAGAATTGAAATTGCTAGGAATCTTTTACCTTTCTTGTTCTGGACTCAGTTGTATACACGTGTACGTATAGAGAAGCAAGTTCGGTTGTCATCTATTTGACAATAATCAAATTTCTCTGAGCTAGCTAGTTGTACAGGAGAGTTTAATGTGTTGTTTTTTATAATCTCAAGTGACGGGACGAACAAGTCATGCTACTGATGGTTAGCTACACGTCAGTTCAAAACAGTTGCAGTACCATTCAGCTCTTTAAATCGCAAATATCTGAGGCGCACTACTACTGCGCTCATCACCCTGAGACATAAGTTGACAAAACCCATGCCTGTAATTTCACCAGCACCCTTACCCTTCAAAACCGGAACACAGTAATGCCGACATTACGTACTGCTTGGCGGCAGAAATAGACAAGGTGGCAGTACTTCCCTGGACGAACTCTTTCACAAGGAGTTCTACTGCTAATAAAAATTAAAAACAATGTAGATAGTTATGACAAAGGAACCTGAAACTACATTAATGGTGAGATCAATAATTGAAAACAATCAACTTTTACTACGGGGTGCCTTCGGAAACCACGAAAATAAAAAGTTTTCTTTTTTCTTGAGTCCGTTAAACATTTTGTGAGAAATGGCTGTCTTTATTTTTACAATTAATTTGAAGGGGTTGCCAAAGTAAAAGTTGTACAGTTTCATAATATGCTGAACCCCGCAGTAATAATTTTTTAGTTTTACGTCTTGAACACCTGCTTAAAATAGTTTCAGTAAATTTTATTGAACTACATATGGTATTTTTTTATGACACCAAGTGACGTGACGAACAAGACGTGCGCCTGGTAGTAAGCGACACACCTGTCCATAGCAGTTCCAGTGCCACTCAGATTTAAAAATCGCAAAGATCTGAGAGGCACTGCTATTTCTCTCGTCACCCTAAGATATAACGCACCCCTCGTAACTCTATATAGGTACAATATTAGTCGGAAGAGTTATAAGAATAGGAGAGGATGTGGGTTATATTTTTCTGTATCTAATGGAACAATAAACATATTTGACGTTACTCCACTTATGCCATTTTTCCATGAGGGGTGCGATAAGTTGATGTCCCATGAGACTGTAATGTCACCAACATCCTTACCCTTCAAAACTTAAAGAAATGTGCTCATTCGTTACTGTTTGGTAGTAGGTGCTTCTTCGGGTGAATTCTTTCACAAGGAGCTCTACTAGATACGACCTTGCCCAGCTGTTTGCACGAGGTCCCGAGATCGATTCCCGGTAGGAACAATTAAGTAAATCAACTATTCTAAATTGGTTCTAGTCTGGATGTTCTGGGTACCCTATAGGGAAATGCTTTGGCAGTCATAGTACAAGGAATTTCCTAGTTTAAGACCAGGTAATTGGTGTAGTTGTCTGGCACATTATTAATTGTATTTAAAGGTGTCACCTTGTAACCTTGATTGATGAAGATAATAAAACGAAATGTTGCGCTTGCTCTTGTAAATAAATATATTTATTAATGTAGAAGCTTCTCCCCCTCGTTAGCTTAAAGCCTTAAAATAAGAAGTAAAGCTGAAACAAAAGGAATCGGTAGATTATTATTAAACTGATTGCTAGGAATTTTAAAGAACTATCTTTTACTAATGAAACGATGTAAAGAAGCAACTACAGCGTAAAAACTAGCTCCACCATTTTAAGGTCAAAAATAGCTGGGCATCGTATGAAATTGTTGATATCGCTCTTACATCAGGGTTCTTTTCGTACGAGCATTTGTGGACGTCGAAAGCTCGTTGACATTTATCTTTATCCGGCGTATCTGTAAATTAAAAACAATTTTAATATGCAACGTAACGTAGAAAACAGAGACATTAGTAAAAATATTTAAATTGCAAGCTAATTGCAAATATGATAAGGGTAATGGTAACTCAACTCAGAGTTGAGAGACCGAATTCGAGCCCACAGCCTCTGTTAGAGAGGCGGTAGGTCAAACCACTAGGTTATCACGGCCAATTTATAAAATAAAAAAAATATTAAAAGAAATTACACCCGTTATAGACGATGTCAATAGGTAACCCCCTCCACCATTTAAAAGTACATCAATCCATATGTATGTATACATACACTTGATCTGCACAGTTTTCCAATAGCGATTCTCGATGTTTAGTTATTTAAATATTTATAGGAGTGTTGGTACTTAATGCTGAAGATTTCCATGTACCGTAATAAAAATAATTGTATGGTGCGTCTATAGGTACTTATCACTAAGACAATGAGAGAAGATTTAGTTTAAGTGTAGAGTCAGTGAGCATAAATAGTATCTTTATGTAGAATATTGAAATTTGAAATGTTTTTTTTTTTATTTGGAAAGCATTATGTTTCCATTGTCTCAAACTTAGTAATATGACAAACGTAGTGACGCTACTATTTATGCAATTATTAGCAGCATCTAACCGTTTAATTGACATTTGTATCGTGTAGCGTTAGTTCCTTATTTTGGATTTTTTTTAGTAAGAATTAATGCACACACTCAACATAACCCCGCAGTAGGGAAATCCTGTGTCGCGGGAATAGATATAGAAAAAACGCGGGTGCCATGGACACATACCTAGACAACCACAAATTATACCCAAACTCACGAGAGAAATACATGTAGGCCATACAAGTATTACACCCGGCCCGGGAACCGAAACTGGGTCCTCTGGGTGGCAGTCCGGCATGGTAACCATTCGGCCACTGAGGCAGTTAAAGTAAAATTGAGTTAAATATCACGGGTGAATTGTGTTAGAAGGTATACGATCATTTTAATGCTGGCTTCCCACGGCCCGTGATTTTACGAGCCGTGCCGCGCGAGCTCGCGCCGCCGACGGTACGCGGGAAGAGTGCCGCCCGTGGCGGGGCGCGGGCTAGCATGCATGGGCCGCCGCCTTAACATAACTCACATAGTGTGCACCAGGGTTGTTGCGACTATCAGAATGCTGATCACCATCTGATGCATCCGCGGATAATCTGCATAAATTAAAATATCCGCATTCATCAACGCTGATATTCATTGCGTATGTTCGAGCCGTGACATGACCTAAAAGGCACGCTATAATTTACAAACCTTCCAAAAATAGACTGTAAGCCGAAAAAGCAGCTCGGCTGTTGTTTTTAAAATATAACTTTGATAAAATTCTTGAACGATTAAGTTAGACAGATTGATTGTTTTCATGCAGAGTGATTGTTTTGTTAATAAATGTTTCAAAATCATTGAAATAATATTTTATTATAACACCTTTTTCATGTAGATAGATTCAGTGAGGTTGTATTTTTCTGGTGTTTTTTTTAATACATAAAACTTACCTTCAACCTTAACATCAGCAAATAATAGCATCCGCTGATGTTAAGGTAAAAAAACCAGCATCCGCATCAGCAGCCGCTGATGTGTAAGGAACCTACATCAGCAACAACCCTGGTGTGCACATATTGCGCCTTCTATTGTTTATGAATTTAAAAACTATCTTCGTAAACTCATATACCGTCACTTCGTCCACAAATTAGAAAAGAAATTTGTAAAGATAATAAATATGCATTTAATCTTTAGTGAATGCTACGAGTAAAAAAACGTTATAATTACATAAAGGTAGTAAATATGTTTGAGAATTTTGTTTTACAGTTTTTACTAAATTGCTTTCCTTACAAAATGACTGAATGAAATAAAAGATAAAAGACCCAAACTTCTTCTATCTAATTCTAAAAAAAAGTGAAAGCGACGTGGTAGATTAAATTACTTGTATTTTATTATATTTGAGGTATTGTAAGTTCTATATTTGGTGAGCCCTTGTTGCATAAAGTGTTAATAGGTACTTACATATACAGCAAATAAAATAAATAAATAATAAGATCAGACCCTTCAAGCGCAAACATGGTTTATGCCTTTCACTGCGGCCTGTATCTGTGCCTGGCTTCAACAAAAAATCTATTCATTTATCAACTCTATACTTAAATTACATCTTCTATCCAGATATCAGTAAAAAAATAAGAAGTTCTTATTGACATTAAAGCTAATATACTTGACATTGTATGCATAGAAATCGACAAAAACTTTAAAACTTCAATATAGAAAAGAGTGATTAAACACGGAGACTTTAAGCAGCGGTCAAATGCGCGTTCGTGAAATGCGCGACTGTATCGCTACACTTGCGATTTATAGGCGCAATCGCAATCGCCTGCAATCGCCTTTAAATCCCAAGTGTACCGATGCAATCGCCGTTTGAATCGATGTAGTTGCGCGCTTGTATCGCGTTTTCATCGCTGCTTAAAATCGCGCGCATGTGTAAAGGTAGACAATTAGCGGCTGCATCGCTACTGCATCGCGTTTGTATCGCTGCTAAAAGTCGCCATGTGTAACCGCTCTTAGAGACGTTTTACCTAAATGTTTGCAGGTAAAGATCATTTTGGAGACCGGATCGTAATAGTCCTCTGGAATCAAACTGATCATCATATCGTAGTCAACTATTCCATCGTCGTCCACCTAATAAAGACCAGTGACATATATTATTTAATTTTAAAACTAGTTGAAAGGTATGATAACAAAATACTTGTAGTAATTAAGCACGTAAAGAATCAGCAAAATCTTTCGTACACTTGGTTTAAAGGTAAATGCAAAAACTATATTCAGCTGTCTGAACCGGTCTATGTGTATCTACGTTATTAAATAATTATAACTTCTTTATAAAGAAAAAACCGACCTCAACAATTCGTGGAATCACTTCCATTTGTCAAGTTTTATAGAACTTTTTTTTTTAATAAATGATTTTATAGTGACGGGACGAACGAGTAGTCGTGCACCTGATGGTAAGCTACACGCCTGTCTATAACAGTTACAATGCCATTCAGAGCTTTAAATCGCAAAAATCTGAGGGGCACTGCCATAGCGCCCGAAACCCTGAGACATAAGTTGACAAGTCCCATGTGCCTTTAATTTCACCAGCACCTTTCAAAACCGGAACACAGTAATGCTGACATTACTGCTTGGCGGCAAAAGTTAGGTAAGGCAGTACTTTTCTGGACGGACTCTTTCACAAGGAGCTCTACTGCTACTAAAACTGTGGGTGAAATCAAATAAGCCGGATTTATTCTGATTTACCACTTTTAGAGGTTGAATATTTTCTATAAATTTGAATGAGACCACTACTGAAGTACTCCTTTTCCAGCAAAAAAATAATCATCGAAATCCGTTCACAAATGTCGGAGTAATCGCGTAATATACACACAAAAAGAAAAAATTACAGTCGAATTGAGAACCTCCTCCTTTTTCGAAGTCGGTTAAAAAGTTTTTAAACCTCTTATAAACTTGTCTGTTGATGTTATACGCACAGCGTTCACGCACACCTACCTCCTCACACTTCATGCAAATTAAATTGAAACATTTCACAAATATACATTCCGCTTAGTTTCCAGTGCGCAAATACAAAACAAACAAAATTGAATTAAAAATAAATTAAACGTTGAGCCGGCAAGAGTGAGGAGAGGAATAAACAAAAGACATATAACTCACGAGACTCGCTTCCTCCAACAGGCAAAACATATAGCACTTCAATTTCGGGTCGTCCTTAAATATGCCGTTTTCGCAATTCTGTATATCCTCTGGGGGCAAGTAGGAATAAAGACGTTTTAATATACGCAAACATGGGACATTTTCTTCAAAACAATGATAGTGGAAAAGTACAGAGATGTTCACGACACAATGTAGTTTCTTTTAAAATATACGTAGCTAAAGAGCCTCCAAGGTATGTAAATACATTTTGACAAAGAATAATTATAACAGCAGAATTAAAAAATATTTGTGTTCTTTGATTTACAATTACGTTTTTTTTTTTGAAGATCTAATCTTTAGCATCATTAATCAATCATCATCAATCCATTTACACGTCCCACTGCTAGGCGCGGGTCTCCTCCACGGGGTTTGGGCCATAGTCCGCCACGCTGACCCAATGCATGCGGGTTGGGGACTTCACAAGTTTTCCGAGGGTTGTGTTGTGTTCATCACGAGGTTTTCCTTCACCGAGAAGCTCATGATACATTTCAAATTAAATTTCGAAAACTCAGAGGTGCGAGCCGGGATTCAAACGTATGTCATCTGCTTGAGCGGTGGTAGGGTAAACTATTAGGCTTTTAAATATTAATTTTTTGTACTGTACTTTAATCTGTCAATTATAATTTTAAAAACCATATCGCAAAGGCGCTCTTTTCAGTTCAAAATCCAGGTCGTATTGTCCATGGTACTACCTAGCTACCGAACTGAAAAATTTCATTAAAGTTTTGTCCACAGTTAAGTACTTTAATCAGTATCATAGTTTCTGTACACAGACCTATAATGCTATTTAAAATATCTATCTCTACTGCCTCCTGATTAGTTAAATTGGCCTAATGTTTTGCAACCGGGCCATTACCTTTAAAAAAAAAAAGTATTTGTTAAACTAAAAGCGGCACTTGACCACTTCTATTCTATGTCTTTGGTTTTTGTTTTGTAGCGTTTGTTTGGCTTTCGTTTAAATATATAAAAAGACTGTACGGTGGAATCTACCCAAATAAATGAGTGAAAATATACATTAGATATTGGTTGTGTGCATTGACTTACAATTATAGTCAATGGTTGTGTGTCATTATTTTATTTACTCGTACAAAAATATTGTGCATACAATACTTTTCAATCATTACATAATTAGGTCTTAAAATCTCGTACATATTACTAAGGCCAACCGGCAGAACCTCGTGGCCTATACACGGTACTCGGCTTCAAGAACCTCAATAAGCAACGACTGCATAAAATACTATTTCAAACTTTTAGCATAGTTTTACTTTTTTTAAATGAATATCACAGTAGGCACAATAAGTATTTTAAGAATAATTAAAAAGAAGCCAGTGAGCATACAATAAGAAGCAGTCAATTCTAAGTGAGTTGTACAGCTATGGTGCGAGGTTTAGCCACAGCGAGATTTCCACGTCATTCGCATGCGAGCATAGAACAAAGGCTAACGGAAATAAAATTTTCTTTTGAGAACTCACCCTCCGCCGCCCCGGTTTTTCCAACGCACTCGTTATGTATATGTTGTATTATTTCCTTGATTTCATCGCTGAATTTCTGAGAAAGTGATGGTTATGTAGGGTTACTACAAATAGATAGTGCTTATGCTGATAATTATGAATAAATACATATGTGGATCGTAACAAGGCTGAGGCCATGCTTGACATCAGCCTTGTAGACCGAATTCCGAACGTTGAGATTCGACGACGTGACGAACGAAAGTCCAGGTTGGAACTCTGATCATGAAACTCAAATAGAGTTTGGTGGGACACATTACAAAGCGAGGTAAAGACAGGTGAAGCAAGACGTCGACCATACGTCGACTGATTGGTGGCCGAGGACGGGCAAAATAAGCCTATTGCAAGGTGGGTCAACGACATAGTGCGCGTCGCGTCGCAGGGACTCAATGGATGCGGTTACCACAGGACCGTTGTGGATGACACAAAGTTCGGGAGGTACCTTCCCGGCAGTGGGTGAAATCAGGTTGTGGATCATAATGATGAACATAACGTGATATTCATTCATATAAAAGCATTTCTAACTTGTAACAAAATAATATTCAGATTCAAAAAAAATCAATATGCAATGTGAATGTCACAGCAAAAGTACACCTAATGAATAATAGTAATGAACCAATGCTCAGTAAATCGATTCGATCGATCTTTATGTCTAAAGCGCGTCTCGATAATAAACCAAGATGAAGGTCAGCTAAGTAAATATTGAATTTTGTTCGAAAACTGCTTTACAACCGTGAGTTGATATTATATGTATTTATTCCGTTACTGAGCACACTCTACATACTTAACTTTTGTGAACACCGTGGGGAAAATAAGTGACTTTAATATTAAAAATGAGATAACATTCTCAAAGAAAATTATTAAGTCGTTATTCTGCTGGGAGAGGCCCAATGCGCATCAACTTGTATCATAATGTTAAATATTAATTTAAGTAGCATGAACTCGTCTCCAATTCACCAAGCTTATTCAGCGGTGGAGAAATAATTGAAACACGAGTTCTTATTACGTATCAGTTACGTTCAACACCAGATTATACGTAGATATGATTATTTCAAAAAATGTAAAAAGACCAAGTAAATTATATTATTGGGTAATTTTCAGGTTAATTTCGGTGGCAATTTCTATAGTAAGTATTCGAGTATATTGCCGTGAAATATTATATAACACTTCATGATAATATCTCAGAATATTGGAATAAAAATTGAGACCAAAATTAGGTACCTACAGAAAACTAAACTAAAAATTACCGTTTTGGCTGTTAAAATAGATATGAACCCATTTTAAAATACCTAGGTACATATTAGGTCTTCCGTCAATAGTAGGTAGGTATGCGAAAGTAGTAGTATGCTTTGTCGCTAATCAATATGACTTATATAAATTGTCGTATTCGTATCATATACGACTGTGGAATTGCAGGAAATCTTTTGCGTTCGTATTATTCGTTCGGTGAGGACGCGGGCTGTGACGTTGAGCAATTGTACCGCTATTACCTGTTTCTACTAGGCCTGCAGTCCATCCGTCATTCGTGACACGCACTAGTGCGTAGGTAAGTACTAACAAATATTAATGCCAAACCAAATTAAAATTTTTAGGGGTAATATTATTTTTTAAGAGACCAATTGGCGGAACGAACAAGTCGAGCGTCTGGTGGAAAGCGACACGCCTGTCCATATAACAGTTGCGGTTCAGAGCTTTAAATCGCAAATATCTGAGGGGCACTCCCACTAGGCCCGCCACTCTGAGACATAAGTTGACAAATACCTGTATGTGTGTAATTTCACCAGCACCCTTCTAAACCGGAACGCAGTAATGCTCACATTCCTGCTTGGCGGCAGAAATATGTAAGGTGGCAGTACTTTTCTGAGCGAACTCTTTCACAAGGAACTCTTCTGCTACTATAAAATATCTAACAAATTCAACTATATCGTCTTAACTAATGGTAACATAGTTAAGTACATGTGTAAATGAGGGGTAAAGTCTTGTCGTCTTTCGTTTTTTGTTTAACATAATTTATTTGACCATAAGATTGATTTTAAATTCGTTCTCTTTAAAATGCGCTGTATTTAAAAATACTATTTGGCACTTAAGGTTCTTTACTTCTCACCTGCAGACATATTTTCTTTATATTCGCTTAATCATTATTGATTAATAATTATTAGCATGAGGAAAATTGTAAGCTGACTCACCGGTTTATGTTTTCCGCTGTAAACATTAGTTACAGCGAAAAACAGTATTAAAAAGACGTACAGCGTCGAATTGGACATGGCGCACCGCTGCCTCTGCGCCAGTGCGCATCGACGTTCACAAACTCCCCTCTTATATTACGGATACAACTCCACCTACACTCGATCACGTATTGTGAAGCGAAATTACCCAAAGCTAGCAATTAGTGCAATAGCGGTAGAGGTCTTGTTGCTCTACAAGCTGTAATCACGAGGCGGAAACTTTTCGGAAGATGAATGAATAAGCAGGTAGCTAATGGGTGTCTCTACAACTTGTTGTTAGGAACTATTTTGCGACGCAACACGCCGTGATGTAAATTGACGCTATGTCAGGTGACACAAGTTGTGTAATTGTCGCTTCAAATGTATTAACACTAATTAAGGTAACTATATAGCCTTCGTACAATTATTAGTGAGCAAAAACTATACATTCTATCACAAGCAGTCTTCTGAGTACCACTGAGTATAACTTATGAATCACGTTGACTGACACTGGATCTAAAGAACACATCAGTGGAGTCACATATCAGTGGGGTTACTACCGGTATTACTCAGTTACATTTTGGATAAAAGTTCGTTACATTGGTGTTTGCACCCAACTTTACTTTCCTTATTACATTTTAGCTAAATAATTGGAGGTATTTTCTCATGTAATTCCATCAAACTTTGCTGAATCATTGTTTTCGCGGTGAACAATAAAAGAGAGCTTACGTGTTTTTGCGCTGGCGCCTCTATTGTGCTCTACACAATAATAATTATAAAATTAATGTCATAATTTGCGCAGTTCGCTCGCGCCGCAGCCAGCTTCGGCGATATCAGTCCTAATGATTATTAATGGTTTGAAGACTGCCTCTAAAATCACGCTGGCTTACATTGAATTGAACCAAGCTGCTACAAGGGGAACAATTCCAAGTTTTCTCTACAGCCTGTCGATGTTTGAAATTACTGATAATAATGGTTTTAAGTAGGTAGGTAAGTTGCCCGTCTGCAAAATCACATTAGGTATAAGTAATTAATATGTGACAGAATGATGTTCCAATTGTTTAAGTTAAAGATTTTGTTAAAAACCATTTTACAGAACAAGAGACCATAGGAAAGATAAGTACTTTATCAAATAGAAAATGATCAAGTCGAGAACCTAAAATATGCGATTATCTTGCACGCATACTTAGGTATGCCGTGTTCAATCGACATGAAAAATCCATTAGAGTTGTTTGCGTGGAGCGGAGGAATGAAGCGGTGGCGGCAGTGACCGTGGCTAAGCGGATTTGCAGCGTCGTGCTGCACCCATGTGCCCTGTACTATGCACGCTCATCTCAATTCTCGCTTCCATCATCGAACACTGCATTTGCTACGTCTGCACTGGTACATAGATTACCAACCTTAGGTTTTTTAAAGTTGCTCGCTTAGAATAATAACGCGTATAAACCTAGTCCGCACACGCTAAGTGAGGCAAATTGAAGCGCGCCTTCAGTGCTCAAGGTCAACTTGCACCGCGAACAGATCAAGAATTTTAGCTAAAAATGACGAAATGTGCGGTAAATGAGTGTAAAAATACGTCAGACAAACATAAAATAGATACTAACATCACATTCCACAAGGAAGTAACGCGTTTCAACTTGTATTTTTATATAAATATTCACTAAAACCGAAAATTAACCTACTACTAAAACTAGCCTACATGAATTTGATTTTTGCCTCACTTGTAACAGTTCGTTTGATATGAAACTATCATTCTATGCGTTATTATTCTAAGGTTGCTCCGATACAAGGAAATATAACGGCAAAATTCATTCGTCAAAAATCTTACATTTGTTCAGAAGTACAAACTTAAAATTTTCAAACCAACGTCGATGTCGAGTTGCAATTAAAAGATGTGGTGGTCATTAATTTACAGAGAAGTAATGTGAAGATAGTGCGAAGAGGAATTGAGTGGCGTGGAGAGCTGTGCGGAGAGAGAAACGTCATTACCGCAATCAAAGCTCCGAAGCCGCAGCCCGCCCGCGCCGCGTCGTAGCGCGCCCGTCTGCCGCTAACGACGAGTGCTCTCGATAAAAATTAAAAACACGTGCAAACCCAGCCCGAGGAAAGTTTTAATGAGTACACGACTCGCTCCACCAACAGTCATACCGCTTTCTATACTATAACCACGTACACGCAATTTTCATAAAAATATTATAATACGATTTAATACCCACATACATACGTGTAACGTGACATTCAAGGAGCAATGTATGTATCGTGCCTACCTAAGCAACTATTTCTTCCAAGAACGATATTGGATACAATGCTTAGAATTAAAATAATGTACCTAAGTGCTATCAAGTTCTTAGGTTTTCGCGATTGCTACACATTGGAAGACGGTAGGTATACCCACAAAGTACAAATAGCTCACAATTATCTTTTATGTTTACGTGAGAGATACGTAAATTGGACATGATTTTAAATTTGTTTTGAATTTAAATCGCGTATATATTGTATATTGTTTTTTTGACAAATAAACGTTTCACCAACGTCGGTTTATTTGAAAAAACAAATATACCCGATTTAATCAAATTAAATAATAATTTGGATAAAAAAAAACAAGTAGTATCATTTCCAAAATGTAAGCGCTAATTAAACAGACAAGTAAAACTTACCGCAAATACCTCACAATATCAAGTTTGTTTATTTAACATAAGATCGACTAGTTGTTCCGCAAATTATTTTCAAAAATAAATGACAATCCAAAATTTCATGGTAGTTTTTCACCAAAATTATTTATTTAAAACAATACCTTAATATTATGTAAATTTTAGTAAGTTTCTGTAACAGTAATCCTTTTCACTCGCTTTATTTATTTTCCTATAATTATGTATAATTAGCAGCAGCGCTTATTAGCGCTTAGAGCGCTTTGTGAAAGAGTTCGTCCAAGGAAATACTGCCACCTTATCTATTTTTGCCGCCTAGCAGTAATGTCATCATTACTGTGTTCTGGTTTTGAAGGATAAGGGTGCTGGTGAAATTATAGGCACATGGGACTTGTCAACTTACGTCTCAGGATGCGCCTCAGATTTTACGATTTAAAGAGCTGAGTGGCACTGCAACTGTTATAGACAGGCGTGTAGTTTACCATCAAGCGCACAACTTGTTCATCCCGTTTCTTGATATTATAAAAAAAATGAAGATAATCAAAATTCTACTGAGACCACAGGTTACTTTTCTTGTGGACTGTATATATTCAAATATAATTCCACATAATTCCACATACACGAACCTATGAAAGCCATCCAAAGAATTAATATGATCAATACGTTCGAGCTAATTTCGTTTGGCGAGGATGCATTTTCCATTTCATTCACATCACCTTTTAGGGATACATAAAAACTCGATTAGATTTGTGCATTGGCAGGCAAACGAGCGAGTACAGACGCGGGGCGCGGAGGGACGAGCGAACTGATGGCTGTATCAGTTGACCGTGCGTAAGCTTTATTGCTCTGCTATCGGAAATAACCTGCAGCTGGAAAATTGTGATAACCTATGTATCTGGTATAACAAGTGATATGGTATAATAAGTGATAACACCAAGCTACACTCTCCATACCTACCTTTGTAGAAATAAACCGCGCAATAGCTAACAAAACGAAACCTCGCTTCGAAATCTGTTTAGCCAATCTGATGACCTTTGCAACCAACAACCAACAGACGACCTCAATTCGTTAAAAAAACAAAAACAGAAAAGATACAAAAGCTTTTCATTTGCGAAGAGCCATAAAGCAGATGTTTTTATTGTTTTCAATACAACCCTCCTTCGCGAGGTGCAGTCGAAAAAAATAGGAATAAATTGCGAAGATCTTCGCAAAACAATAGTTGGAAATTGTCTACGCGAGAAAAAGCCGGATGCAAATGCCATTCATATTAATTAGCAAAGCGAGACGGGCTTTTACGAAATTAGACCGTGATTTCAGAGGAGATTTATTGTTGTGTTTGAAAATGGTACGAAGGTAGCCATTTAGACGCAGCCAAATTAGTGTTGTCAGACATTTTAAATTGAATTGAGTGAAGTTGTTGTTTGCTTTGGCCAGCGACTGAGGGCAGGTGAGGCTAATTTATTGGTTAGCGCAATGTGTGTTCGGTATCTGTGTAAAGTATAGGTATGGAAAAATAGGAGATTGGTGCAATGATTAATGACCGCCGGCGGCAAACCCACGGCATAGTGCGGCTAATGTATTGGGTATCACGTGTGCTGCCATGAGGCGCACCAATTACTATCGAACAAACATTTTTTTATTGTATTTGAGGTGAATATAGAAGGGAAAAGAAAGAGACAAGACCATGAAAGCCGTATCCTCCTTAGACCCAGCAAACTACTATGGGAAAAGCGCTAAACGGCCAATGCGCATTAAAATGTACTTAATATAAATACAAATTCCAAGCAATAGTTTTGTACGAAAATCGCATTGTTCTAGATACACTATGGTCATATAGAATGATAAGAGCTAAATTTGAATACGATATTTTCGTTATAATGTACACTGGGCATTTACGTGATTATAGGAATAATATTTCCGTCATTTGTTCACTTATCTAATTTTCGTGTCAGTTTTCATTAAGTATTCGATTTTTTTATTGTGCAATGTTATTTCATATTTGAGTATTGTATCGTGAAATATTCTTTAATAATTACACCATAATAATATACTTGAATATTTAAATAATAAAAATTGCCACGGAAAGTAGGTAGTGAACACTAGTCCGAGAATGACCGCTTTATGGTCTGGATCTGAACTACTTCACATATTATGTACATTTTGATGTACACGCAGCCATAGGAGGGTATACTAAACAAATATAGAAGATCAAAGTGAGCAGTTATAAGGAAGTGAAGGAGCTAGCTTTGAACCATGAGGAGTGGAAGAGGTTACACCGACAAGAGCCTGGCTCTTAAGGGGAGTCACAGCGGAGAAGCGGAGAAGCAGAGAAAACTGTTTTGCTAGATCAAATGTTTTATATATTTACTATTAAATAACGGTCATGACATACGATACTTACATCTAAGGATATTATGAATGTGCTAATTTGTTACAGGATAGCATGTACATGATTTTAGCCTAACATATAAAATCCCGAAAACAGAAATGAAAGTCTAAAACGAATTATTTAAGAATAAAATATATACCTTTGCACATCATTTTTATATGGACACATTTCTCTTTCCAACTGAAGCCCTATAGTTACATATTCCATTCCAACGATATGTACTTTGCTAAATTCACATTTATCCCAAAACTTGAAAATTGTGCAGCGTTTTAAAGACACGCCACGTCACCCGCTGCCCCGTCAGTCGCCATCAGGTGCTTGTCAACGTCAAATTTTCTCTGCCTGTTCTTATTTAATCAAATTCATTTCGTACCAGTATGTAATACCTTGCCTTAAATAGGACGATGAAACATTTTTTTATATCTATAACGCTAACAAATTTAAAAATATTGTCTATACAAATATGAAAACATTGTAATAAAAAGTCGCAGTAGTTTATTTGTGTACTTTTTATTAACTTTGTCGTATTTCTTAAATATAATGTCACAATCACATATTTGAAGCTTTCATACAAGTAGTTCAACTCACAATTTTTTTCCCGTGTACATTTATAAATATGACTCCTACAACTTAACTATTACATTTCATTAATACGACCGATTTGTAAAACTAATAAATCTATCGCTATAAATGGAAAAAATATTAAAGTTGTTCGAAAAATAAAGCACAACCAATTCATTGATGTATAAATTAACACAACCTAAAAATATAAAATACCTTAAAAAAATTGTAAAAGAACTCATAAAAAACAAACAGAAGAAACGCATCATGAATTCAATAGGTACTCGTTTTTGATAAAATAAATTGACGTTAGATACAATAAGGAATGCAAACATTCAAGTTTTATATTAAATGCAACTGTCGATCACAGAGTGGTTCAAAACCAGTTGCCTATCACTAGTGTTGGACCATGGAAAAATTTCCATTTTGAAAAACATCATAATTTTCAGAAAAATAAACATTTTTCCGGATATTTTTTGATATTTGGAAAAATTTGGAAAATTGATGAATTTTCCACATTTAACGTTCCCACCTATCAAAAGTTCATGATACTGAACAAAAACGATGAAGTAAATAAAAAAGTTTTTTTCGTTGTTTCATTATAAATCTCGTTTTTCGCTAAGTGACTTAGCTATACAATTTAAAAAAAAATTATTTTATAATTCACACTAAATAAAAATTCAAAAGATATTTCTAAGCGTAGAAAATAATATTATGAACCTTCGAAATGATATTTTTCAAAATTTTCCAGAATTTTTCTGGAAAAATTTCCACCACTTGGAATTTCCGGAAAATTACGCAACAGTACCTATCACTGAATGCCCTTAGCACTAATAATATGGGTGTTGGGTCATGGAAAATTTTCCATTTTGAAAAATTCTTATTCTTCCATTGGTGGAATATTTTCCTATATTTGACAATTGACACTTGTCACACGTTGATGATACTAAACGAAAACGATGGAGCCATTATAAAGATTTTTTACCTATGATTCTTTTTTCGCTGTTGTCCAACATTTTAAATCTCGTTTTTCTCTGACTTGCTGTTAGGTGTACAATTTTATTTTATAATTCCCGCTAAACAAAACTTCAAAAGATTGGAATTATTTTTCAGAGTTTTTCTAGAATAATTTCCACTATATGAATTTTTCGTTAAATTACCCAATTATTTACGTTAGTAAATATAATATAGAGTCATTAATTTAGTACAACAAAGTTGGTATAGATTCTAATTATGTAGTTCTTATGGAACTCGTTAGTACAATATTTTTTCTTTATTTCACGCAGAATGGCATACGATAAAAGAATCTACTAGACATCTTTGCAAAATCTACTAGACGTAAAAGGACAAAAAATGCCGATGTATTTTGAAGTGTTAGATTAGTCAAAGCCCTCGATTTTTGATTGCATGCATTTGCATCGCAAGTAAATTTATAAGAAACTGTGAAAATTTAACCTCCAAAGACCCAGCAAAGTACAATGGGAAAAGTGCTAAACGCCCAATGTCCATTAATGTACAAAACACGCTTGTAAAGTATGTTCTAAGTTTTGTATGAAAAACTTGTGTGTGTGTGTACAATAAATAGCGCTAAATTCGAATGCCGTATTTTTCATTATAATGTGCACTGGGCATGATCATAGGAATAATATTGTCTGGGTCTGAATCACTACACATATTATGTACGTTTTGATGTACACGAGGCCTTAAGAGTTAACAGCTCTAAACTAAAATTACATCTCCTGTCTATTTCTTACCAATAACGAGAGTTACATATTCAGAACTTACATTAGTTTATAATAATATTTGCCCGAATTGACCCATCATTATTGCGTAACAATAACATAATATAATAAACCGCGTGACTTCTACCGCAAAGTAGCACTATTGTCTTCCAAACTGAAGGATAGCTCCCTATCCTTGAGCTTTAAGTGGTAGAATCACAATTGACAACGTAAGTTCCACTACCAATAAGTAACGTATAAAAAGTAAGTAGCCTATTACATATAGCTAATTATACGATTTGGCACACTAGCGAATAACTAATATAAAATCGTTTTCATTAGGAGCGTACCTACATCCATAAGTGTAAAGAACAATGATTAGTAAAAAGCGTTATGATGCTTAGGTTACCACAAAAAGTCTACAACACAATAAAGCAAGTAAAATAATGTCGTAACTATTATTATTGAATTTAGTACTTACAATACAACTTACTTGCATTTCCATTTTATTATTGATGCTATATCTATATAAATGGGCATGTGACCTCATATTTGCAGACTTATTTTATGTGTGTAAATGGAAAACGAAATTCTCTGTCGTAGAAATTACGATCTCATAATTTCTACGACAATCGCTACATCTAGTAAAAAAATATGTAGCACGTGTCAGTGTCACAACATCTATATTTGATCTTATTTATGTAAAATATTTTCTGTTCAATTATAAGTGTCACTTTAAAAAATGTTAAAATTATCAAACGATATTCACAAAAGTGGTCATAATTTTCTTATAATATTAAATATTGCAAAAAGAGCATTACAATATTTAATCAAGTGGTAGGTATATGACTGATTACTTTCATACTAACAAGTTTATTTAAATTTATGGAAGTATGCACAATATAATAATGAGCCAATTGAATCATTGATATACAATACAAATACATATTAATAAATGTATATAACTAAAAAAGGAAACACATAATACTAATTCAGAGTACTTACAGTAAATTTTTCAATACACAACCTTTGCATATTATTGTTATATGAATCATAAACTCTTTTGATTTTTTAAATTGTTAAATATAATATTTCTAAGTTCTTGTGCTCAGCTGCGTCATTTATCATAAAAGCAAAATATATTCTTAAACCTATAACTCTTAAGGAAATAATAGTAAGTTTTGTATCTTTCAATGTGATTGTATGTGCAATAAAATATAAATTAAAAAAAAACCAGCAACACTTCGATTTGAGCCTCAATTAGTTAGTTAATTTGGAATTGGTTAGTTACTTTTACAGTAAATTATTTTATTAACAGGAATAATTCTTCATAAAATATTATGTTGCATATTTGCTCTGGAAAATATGTGACGTCACAAACATGGTGGTGGTAATGGCATGTCAATTCGTTTACATACTTCTAACAAAAAGTTTTTCAAAATACCTCCCTGATTATCTTTGGAGCCATTTATTAATATGGTTGGTATGAAACCAGGCTCAATTATATGTGTGTCATCACCATATTTCTTTAATAATTCTGAAGCATGTTCACTGTTAGCGCAACGGAGTATTTGGTCTTTATCCACATTGAATTTATTTGAACACTGCAACAAAATAAATACCATTAAATTAATCATAATAGTACGCCATGTGGTACCATAATAATCATATTTGCCTGATTGAATGAAAAAACCTCATATAATTAATTGAATAATAGGTACATTTATCATTTTACTATTACATTACATCAGCTTGTACTTATACATTACTAAACATAAGCCTTCCCCTGCGCCTGAGCTCAGGGGGCTGATTATGTCTGCAGGAGGGTTGATGGCACTCTAACTCTCTCAGTCTCATGCCGCCCGCATCCAATCAAGTGCCATCAACCTTCCTACAGACATGATTGGGCCACTATCACTTCAGTTCATTAAATAACTGAAGTGATAGTGGCCCAATCATGCACAGTAAACAAAGTAACTTCAAATACTATAGCTATTGTATAACTGTACCTGTAGCATAAGCTGTAAACAATTATTTAGTCATTATGTAAATGTGAAGTATATATACAAAGTATTTATTGAAATTTAATGCAAATCAACTATTTGAAAATAATTAGACTTCCTTTGTCTACCTCTTACAAGCTAACTTTTCACTTAACAATGTCATTTGTACAATAAAATATCCAGGTCTTACCTTCTTAAGAGCAGCCTCTACTTCAAAAACTGAAAAGAGGCAGTCAGTGAACTGCACATATTCTGTCATGTTGCCAATCAGCTCAATGGCACATGCATGTACTTTATTACCAAAGCATTCCTCCTCGCCATGCTGACAGTGGAAATAATATTTACCATCTTCTTCTTTGGTCTGTAAGGAAAAAATATACTTGATATTTGCTGGTTGCAAAAACCATTAAAGATATTGGTTGAGAAGTTGTTTGTATTTACTAAGTAAATTATTTCTTTCAAATTATTTTTTGTTGTGATACATAACAACCCCTTCAAGGGTTTGCACTTAACTATTTAACATTGTGTACTATAACATTTATGATTTATACAACACACTTATACTGAAATTTGTAAGAATTCTGAGGTTACAAACTGTTTCAAATCAAATCAACAAGTGATAATTTTGTTTTTAGTTACACAATCAAGACAACATCTACAATTATCCATATTTGTTTACATTTTAAACAATTACAAACTTCCACTTTCTCATACTGCAGTGGGATAAGATAAGATAAATGTGTGGATGTGTTTATTCCACATTAAATAATAGATAGACAAAACTGTTTATTGTCTTCCTACGAGCATACACAAGAATAATAAAAAAAATTATAATTTAACAAGTCCCTCTTACTTTAAAAATACCAAGACCATTTATGTTAATGATATGCTTTAATTAACTCACCTGAGCTTTACCATACGGAATTAAAGTAATATCTAAAAAGTCGGACAATTTTTCAGTCACCGGGCCCAAGTGTTTTACAAAAAAGTACTTTGAGTCTGGGCACAAAGCTTCATAGTATACTCTCACTTTTACTTTATCTTTTTTATGCTTATTGTAAGCATCGTCTTCTAGCTTCAATAAATCAGACTGAAAAAGTTACATTCATGTAAACAAGAGTTTTATTCCAAGTTTAATACATCCTATTAAAAACATAATAGGTGTAATCCAAACACGCAGCTTGTATTAAACTGAAGTAAATTGAGGAAAAACATTCTTACAAGTGCCAAGAGAATTGATACCAAAGATCTTACCCCAGACAGTATCGCCACGGGTTTATCTGATAAGAGTCGAATTAGTTGAAATATTATCAGCACTAATAATACAAATATTACTATTCTATATCGATTGCAAGTGTAAAAAGCCATATTTTAATTGATAAATATACAAAATATACTTCGTAATCGTTTCAACACCCCGTTGTATTTATAGCTTATTATAACGTGGATATTGAACTACGTGTGACAAAACAAAAATGGCGTTCTACACATAATATACATACAAAATTAGAAACATGCTCCCGTATAGAATTCAATTATTACGGTTAAACAGGCAGTGTTTCTATTTAATTCACAATTATTTTCACATGATTTCGACAATCGTAAATACAAACTGACAGAAAGAAGGGACCTTGGCTGACGTGTGTCATATTTTTCTTGTTTAAAAATAGTTTTTTACAGCTCTGGATACTAATTTTTGAGCCAATTGTCACGACGATAGTTTTAATTTACATCCGAGGTGTGTTCGTAGAGTAGTAGATGAATTGTTGTTGTATGATCTCTAGAGATTAATTGTACTTGCAGAGATCTCCAGCTCTGTTTTCTGTGCTCTGATAAGTTGATGATGACCTGGAAGGCTGTCTAAATGTTACTCAGAGCGGTCGTGGGACAAACTGAATATAGTTATCACATGTTGCATTGCGCGGACTACCGCTCGAAAAAATAACTACTATATTTCTTCTCTATTAAGGTCAAGTTACTTTATTATTTTTAAATATTAATTGTGTGAAAAACGCTTATGGTCGTATTTCAGAACTCTACTCAATGCTCAAGTCAGGACTTGAGTATGATTTAAAGCACTAGAAATCTTACTCAAGTCCTTGTCATTTGGGTGGTATTTCCAGTGCTTGAAATCATACTCAAGTCTGCTCAAGTCCTGACTTGAACATTGAGTAGAGTTCTAGAATACGACTCTTAGACGATGGAAAAAAAATCCATAGTCTAAGGCAAAACGCCATTATGGCCGCGTTGACACAAATAATGAATCCTATGGAATGATCTCTAGATCCGTCCAAACCGCCAAAACTCCAAACCTGATGTACACCAAAATAAAGACAAAATTAACGTCAAGAACATAGTTTATCGAAAAGATCTCGACGTCGTAAGTAATATAGACAGATTTCTTTTAAATATTACAGTTAATTCGGGTAACTTTGAACATTTTTTGCGTTTTTCTAATAATTTCACATTTAATTATGTTTCTTAACAATTACTTTATTAACTGAATAGTGTTCTTTTAAGCCCTTTTTTCGTTCTTATAGAAGGAATTTAGTAATTATTCAACAAAACTGTTCTAGATTTGCTCCAAAAGTCACATTCAAAGTTGCCTTGAATTTTGGGTAACTTTGAATAAGATTAGCCTTCGATATGGAAACCGTATATTTTCTAGATATTTTACAGTTTGTGTAAGATTATACGACATATTCATGTTTTTTAGATGTGAATCTGCCCAAATATTCCTGACAGTGCGTTCAAAAACGACATTTGACTTGGTATTGCCGTAATAAAACGAGACGAACTAATTTAGTTGAAATGAAAAACTTGTTTTTTTTTAGATTTTTTAATTAATGCGAATAAAAATGAAAATTTTCTGTTTAATAATAAATTCTACGCTTATTTAGCTATCAAACTAGATTTTTTTAGGCAATTATTTTAGGCAAAGTAAATACATAACAAAAATCTATTCACCCCACTCCTTGAATAAAATGTCGTCATCAATATAAATACGGCCGCCTTTTCTAGATAGCTGTTGCTCTTTTATAATATTCACAATATCGGCTTTATTAACTTGACATGTCTCAACGTTAGAGGGCCAAGACCAACAAAAAAGCATTTTTGGAGCACTAAGACAGTAATTTCCAAAGGAGTAACTTTTAGAACTCTCCCTGGAAACAGACTACCCTCTTCTCTAAAAACACAGTCAAACACATTCAAAGTTACCCAAATTTCTCTGTTTGGTAACGTCGTCAAAATCTAATTCGTTTTACGCGTAAATACAAAACCAAATTAAATTATTCTTTAAAAAAAGCGATATATAAACCTCTACTTAAGTGTGGAAACCAAAACTTACCAGTCAATATTCAGATTTATATATTTAATTCCGATTCTAAAACTGAGCAACAAATCACACCAAACTACTTTCGCCAAGAAATAACCGCGAAAGTTTAAAAAAATACAATTTAACATTACTTTTTTCTTTCATAACTGTCGTTTAAAAATTTTGTTCCGATTTACACAGCTTCAATACTAAAAATAAAAGATTGCTATACATAAAATAAATTTTTAAATCTTTTACGCAACTACGTTCAAAGTTACACCACGATTCAAAGTTACCCGAATTGACTGTACCTAATAATAATAATCAATAAAATAATAAAAAATAATAATAATAAAAAGTCCAATAATTAACTGTCTTAAACACAGGAAATGGCATCAAGCAACATTTGTATCAAAACCGGTGTCGCCACAAGCACACATTTGAAATTGTAATCTTACATTAGTACTAAGATAACGTAATTTTGATTGGTTATAAATTATCAAACGAAAATAGACAATAATAAAAAGCTTTTGGTAACAAAAATTTAAACTTATTTGGATCTAATAAAGTTTTATTATTACTAGTCACATAAAAGCTAAGCATCTTAAGAACATAAACTTCTTGGATCAAAAGCAAAAAGTTGACAATCTACAGATAGGGATATGACATATACTAAATCTATGGATATGACATTTAATTGATATCGACATTATGTTTCATAACTAACGGAATATTGAACTAGGCATTGCTATAAACTTGCTAAAATTAGTGTTAACCACGGAGTATACGGAAACGGCATTTAAAGCAATTTCTTACGCGACTAGTGTAACTGACTTTTACACGTACACATTTGTTACCAAATACGCACAATGTTTTACTACACGTTAATATTAATTGATATTAGCTACGCAGGCGTGTGCGTATACGTAGCTACATGCTACAATCACAATATTAATGATTTATTATACTGTCATCGTACTTTCATTAACCTACTAGATTTCAAGTCAATCCAATCATTGGAAGGGTTGAAATATTAAAACACAGTCATCATAAAAATCTTTATTCTCCCTGAAATATGATATAATTTGTTCAACAATCACCTCTTTCTGAACTGACTGAACATGACTACACCTATAGCGTCGACGAACTTGTCTAGAAAATGAAGATAATTATTTCCGAAGGCGAAGAAGCGAATCATTTGTTTCATGAAAACTTGACAAAAAATAAGTGACAATGCTTCAGAAATGTTTTCACATTTAGATGTGGTCTATAATTTGGAAGGCGACTCTGAGTTTCATGTCATGTATTACCCGATTAGCCAAATGTATTATTTCTTAATGAATTTTTCGGTTGTTATTCATATGTATATAATTTAATGTGATGTCATAAAATACCTTTAGCAAATGGTGCTACATTTAGTAGGTTTTACTGCCTGTTGCTTCAGCTCATTTCTCCTTTAAAAAGAACCTGGTGGGAAACTAAAAAAAATCAATACAAAAACTGCAAATGTAAATCATGCCTGTGATAAAACTAAGAACTCAAGCGGATGAAGGTGACGTATAAAAAGCAAGTAGAGAGATAAGAATCATGTAGATAAGGAAAAGAAATCTCCAATCTCGTAAAATCTTCATTTGATACTCCACGAGCTTACGTGCATTGTAAAATTATCGATCCTGTACCTCTTCTATCTGTATTTCCTTTTTTACCATTAATATATCGTTTTTACTTGAATTGGAAATTAAAAAAAACTATTGCGAGTGTTAGGACCAAACATTTAAGTAATCAAAATTGTTAGCTTTTAAATACCTGTAAACAATTTATGTTTACACATTGGTACCGCTATAATAAAAAAATGTTGAACTAAACCAAAACCGGGTTTCTAAATACAGAGTAGTTTCTACATATCGATAATTGGATTACAACATGCGGACCCAGTACCAAGTGTAATACGACGCCATGCAAGCAATTCATTAGGCGTCATTCGAATTGTTCTTTTGACGGTGGCGATGGCTAACAACCAATGTATGTTATTACCGAGTTGCAAGAAAATAGTTTTGTTTCGAAATTATAGTATTGTATTATTCAAAATATTAGAAAACACAGAGTTTTCGTACTTACCCATGAAATGAAATCACTCCGGGAGTATTTTTTAAACTTTGGCTTCTTACGCGACATGATATAATGGCATATTTCTATTTTTTTCCACAAAATAATTATGTATCACATTTGAACGACGACTGACGCGCTGTTGACACTCTTAGGGACGTCTGTTCATAAACTGCCGCCCACTAACCAGTCTATTACTAGTATTTATGTGGTCTGTGGTCTCAAACTAGGAAATTCTGACATAGGTACTACCAGATCAACACAATCCGCTCAATGCACTACCCAGAAAACCCAGATCAAAATCAATTTACAAAAAGTTCGTTTCCTAAATCAGTCTTACCGGGAATCGAACCTGGGATCTTCTCACCCAACGCCTACTGTGCAAACCGTCGAGCCATCGAGGTCGTCTTTTTTTAAACAACAAATTAATAGGGTAGGTAAGATAGATGAGCCGGCCGCAAAGGGGAAAAATATATCAGCCCATTTTTGAAATTACGATGTCATACTCATACGTGTAGTATCAATAATGGTATGAGTGACTTGGTGGGCATCAGTGGAAGGAAAATGACTGGGATTTTGTTATAAGAAATATTTTAGAAGAGAACCTTTACTACCTTCATGGGCAACGATATCAGCTTAACGCAAGATAAGCCATATGCTTTTGTTGTTGTATGTTAAATATTGTCAATAAAGATATTTCTTCTACACATACATTTAACACAACAAAACATTAAAAATGTAAAATCACGGAAAAATGTATACGTTTACGTTATACGTTTGTGTGTACGTTTCTATCTAAATAAATAATAATAATTACCATTGACTTACAATTATATGGACGTCGGATCCGCGCTAAAAAGTGTCCGAACTTATAGGGCGTTAAAATCGTATACAGAGCGTCATTCACGCTTTAGTCTTCGTTTGTTCGACTGACAGCGAAGCAAGCAAAATTAGACAGTACTGCGATGACATTACAATTTAAATTCAACGTTTTAGCTTTTTCATATTCCTTTACATGTCACTACGTTTAAATTGGTTGACTTGGGACATTTTTTTCGTGGTTTTTGTATTAGACCCGTCGTCCATTTATTTCTAAGTCAATGATAATTACACATAAAGTAACCATTACTGAAAAAAACTAAATTAAGCAAAACGCATTTTTTTCGATTTTGTGACAAAGCAAAAAGTGTTAGCGTGTTGTTGTGGGTTGGAACGTTCATGTTCAGGCTGCTCATGTAAAGGCGCGGTCTCTTTTTCGAGCTTGGCGTGGACACGGTAGCCCGTCGCGTGGTCCATGTTATGAGGCAATGGCGGAGTCGCGACGTATGTTTAAATCGAAATTAAAGTGGTGCCAAAGTAACCAGGAGCGGCTGAAGATGGATTTTCTGGCATCACAGCATGCTAAAAAGGATTTAAAAAATTTTTGGAAAAGTACAAGGAGACTTAATCCGAGATCTACCATTCCACTTAATGTGGATGGTGTGTCTAAGCCACGGGACATTGCCACCTTATTTAAAAACCATTTTCAGGTGGAACCGTCACCCCAAACTTGTGTGCCATTGGTGCTTGAACCTAGGCCTGACGAATCGTGTTCTCTAATAAAGTTTACAGCAAAAGAAGTTGCTTTTGTAATCAAGCACATGAACAGGAGTAAGTCCCCTGGGCACGATGGACTTGGGATTGAGCACCTGCGGTATGCTGGGGTACACTTGCCGAGGGTTCTCTCAATGTTTTATACGTTTTGTGTTCGTCACTCGTACTTGCCATCGGAATGCATGAAAACGGTAGTTATACCAATAATCAAAAATAAAACTGGAGATCCCTGTGATAAAAACAACTATAGGCCCATTTCGTTAGCCACCACCATAGCAAAGGTACTGGACGGTCTGCTTGATCGCACTTTCAACAGTCACATGAAATTGAATGATGCTCAGTTCGGATTCCGGTCTGGGCTCTTTACTGAGCCTGCGATACTGTGCCTGAAGCATACCGTCCGTTACTATACAGACGCCCTGCGCGTTCAGTACAACGACGCGTTCAGGGTTTTATTGGGTTTGCCACGGTACTGCAGCGCATCAGGCATGTTCGCGGATGCCCACACGGATGGTTTCCATGCTATCCTTAGAAAGAGAGCTGCCTCATTAATAAGTCGTATCCGTTGCGGCACGAATGAGATTCTGCGCGTTGTGCCTGGTAGAGTGGATTGCCCGATCATGCTACATTGCATGAAACTGCATTTAAAACCATGTCGATGATTTATTTGATATTTAATTTAATTTGTTTAATTATTCTAATTATCTAAGCTAATATTACAACTGTAAAATATGGACTGTAGTTGTCTGAGAATAAATGATTTTTTATTTGATTTGAAAAACTGCTGAAAAGTAAAAAATTGTGGCAGTTTAACATTGATTAAATCAAATTTAAATAAATAAAAATCTTTTTCAAAGTAAAGTTTTTACGAAATTTACAAGAACGAAAAATCTACTTCGAAACACTCGATAAACCAGTTAGAAAATTAAAACAAATTAGCAAAAAAAATGACAGACGATAATTTTATAATTTCAAATTAGACATAAAACAAAAAGTAACGTTTCTGTCCAGAATTTTCAAAAACTACTGCATTATTTTGATGATATTATTACATTACTAGATTTTACATGAGAAGAAAAAATTAATTTTTGCTGTATTTTTTTGTCCTAAATGTAATTATTTTTATTTAAAAGTAATTTTAATTTATACACATGGCATATTGTAAAAACCAGTAGTAGGAAGAGAAGGGCCGTTGTCTTCTCGGGCAACCTAAGTTCGGAGTACCTATATTTTGCAGTTAAAGACATCGTAAAAATATTTACAGCGCGTGAATTCGTAGTTTGTAAAAGAAGCTTTATCCTGTCGAAAAAAGACGTCATCATTAGAGCTTTGATCCCGAGAATATCAGTCCCGAAAATATTGAGATTAACCAACGATAACTTCGAATTTTTTTTGGCATTTTCGACTCAAGGCTAAGTTTTCAGTCATCGTAATATTTTACGATTACGATTTACGCGACTTAAAGTTTTAAGTAACTTCATTAAAAATATACTTTATTGCTTTATTTTGACTGTCAAAATATCCAAGCTTTATAGGCTACTTATGTCAATGATATTATACTTGAGATGTAGTCTCGCATTTTTACCGGGATTTTCGAGACCGCAGTCTCAATATTTTTAACTACAGCGTAACTGAAAGCCCTAGCCATCACGTACTAAGTACTATGAGACGACTTTCGTGATCGTGTAGCTTGCACACCGGTCGTCGTAGTGTTTCCAAGGTCCCGGGTTTGATCCGCGACCGGGTCAATATAGAAAAAAAATAACTTGTCTATTTAGGCAAATAATATTATAGAAAGATATTATCTCGTGTCTAGGTGTTTATAGTGCCGTCGTTGTTTTCGATTTCCATATACAGATATTAAAATACATACAAATTGTTGCATAAATATTGTTAACTCATAATAATTACTATCACAAACATTGACCTACGAACAAATGGACGTCAGGTTCGCGCTAAAAAGTGTCCGCACGCAAGGCGTTAAAATCGCATACAGAGAGTCGATCGCGCAACAGTCTTCGTTCGTTCGACTGACAGCGCGGTTAATCATGCAGTATTTATATTAGCACAAGCTATTGAAATATTTGGAACAAAGAAACTATAGACTCGATTTGATTTTAATCGTATATTGAAAATGATGTTTTATTAAACGTTTGCAATAAGTTACAAAATATTGTAGTTCTCTCACTCTTTTTACGGCTTGGGGATAACCTATCCGAAGTCAGAAAAAACATTTTCCCGAAATAACGTTAATTCGAATTTTATTAATGTCAAATGTATTTTTTTTAGGAATATTACAAAACAAAAGCTAATTTTGTGAAAAGCATCATTGTTGTTCACAAAATATATATTATGTTTATATAATAAATCAATTAATATTTACAATAAAGGTCATCCATTACTCTTGTGTTCAAGTAATTTTCAGTGGAAGCTAAATATAGTGTTATGGGCCCTTAAATTGTTGCAAGCAAAATTAGGCAGTACTGCAATGACGTTACAATTTAGATTAAATTTTTTTGTTTTTTTTTTACATTTCGTTACATGTCACGACGTTTGTATAGTTAATTTCGGACATTTTTTCCGTGGTTTTTGTATTAGACCCGACGTCCATTTCTTGGTAGGTCAATGATCACAAAACTATTCAGTTAACTGTAAGGTGTTGAACTTCTCCATATCGTAGAAGCCTGCTTTGACTTGTCTGCCTCCGAAAAATCTTCCATTCAAGTCAACAACCGCTTTGATAGCGCTCTCGATTCTCTTGAATTCCACAAATATTCTGACAGCCTCATCTGCTGGAGCATTGGGGAGTTCATAAATTACTACTTTTACAACTTCACCGTATTTGGTATTACATTCATCCTTTACTTCTGGCTCTAGATCTTCATCGACATCGCCTGGTCCCACCATATTCTAAAATGTTCAATTTAACTTATTAGTACAGTACAGCGAAAAAAATACCGTAGTTGACAAAGGACGACGTGACACGAATAGCGCCTACGTTTTTAATTGCTAACTATGTGCAAAGTGTATCACCCGAGTGGTTTTTTTAAAAATATTAAAATAAAATAGCATTTTGTTGTATAGACATAGGTAGTTATAAGTTATTTGTTTCTCATAACAATATACTGGGTGTAATCGTTAAATGTGCACAGGCGATTATTCCATAAATATAAAAAAGCCTTATACTGATATCGAAAGTACGTTACCTAATAAGTAAAACGACATCAATAACTTTTTTAAATAAAACTAGAAATATCCAAAACTTTAACGTTAAACACTCCATATATTTAATATGACATTCGTAGGGAGGCATTACTTGACTTACTTTAAGAGGTAACAATAAGTTTATAGATAATAATTTAATTTAATTACAAAACTGCTAATGAAATCAATAAAACTTAAACAAATCTTTCAATTGAATAAAAATATAATGGCACTGTCAATTATTTGGCCTAGTGTGAGTTGTCCATATAAATGAATAAAATTGATCAATTTTTTTTTAGTGTTGAAAGACTGAGTTTCAAGTAAGGCTCATTTCATTGTATGGAACGAAAAAATCGGGACAGCAGAAGTTGGTCAAAATTAATAAAAAAATGAACTAAAGTCAAGTTACAAAATAACTAATTTGTCATTGGCTCCAACAACAACTGAGAAGACCCATGAGAAGAATAAAAACAATTGGTCGCAAATTATTATGCTTTTCTTATAAAATTTAATTGCGTATTTGGCCATCTCACCTGATGGAAGGTGACGATGAAGTCGACTATGGAGCATGCACTCCTAAATAATTATTCACTCTCGCCTTGAAAAGGCCTAAGTTACAACATTCAGGGAATAAGTCTGCAGGCAGGGAATTCCACTCCTAAGCCGTTCGCCATATAAATGTGGAAGAATAAAACTCTGTGCAAATCCTTAAAATATCTACAACACAGGGGTGGAAACTGCCTAAAGTCTCTCTGTGATGGAAAGGGGAAGGTGGAATTAAATAGTGCAATTCCATCGCACTCTCCTTGATATAATATTTCGTAGAATACTACCTGTATTATAATTGCAGACAAGGTAGCTACAATTGGCCTCTTGATTTTAAGGAACTAATTACTTCCATTTAAAACAAGAAGAATAATGTCAAAACAGTTGATAGTCAATAGCGTCAGTACTACAAGGGCTCAAACTAGCTTATCAACCTTTACACAAGAACACTTACTCTTAGCAGCACCACTTTACTTGGTGATTTCATTATTTCTGTAATTGAAGGTTCTTGTTTCGACAGTGGTGAATTTGGTGAATCTGAAATATATCGATTAACATAATTTTATTAACTACATAAAAACGTTGTAAATACCCCCTAAATTCAGAACTTATCTTAGAGCAGTTACACACGGAGACATTTAGCAGTGATTCAGTCGCGATGCAAACGCGGTGCAAGTATTTAATGGTTTCACACAAGAGACTGTATCGACGCAATCGTGCGTTTGTATCGATGCAACCGCCTATAAATCGCACGAGACGCGATACAATCGCGCGTTTCACAAGCGCACCTTTGGATTGCTGCTAAAAATCGCCGTGTAAAAATGTATAACAAAACAGAAAAAGTATTTCAACGGCATTTACAGAGTTATAGGGCGGTCAAATAAGTAATGTACCTGAACCTGGCATCGCAAATCCTGGAGGTGGCATAACATTACCATCCTTCTCGTGAATAATACGACCTCCTCTCTTCGACGTCTTTTCCACTTGCAAAGCTACTGACATGCCCTGTTCTTTCTTGCCTAGGCCTTGACCTTCCTGTAAGGAAATGTTGGACGTATATTGTAACCGTGTGTTTCGGTGCGTCGCAGCTACAACGCCTAGCTCAAATATCACACAAACTACACTTGTTTGTTTGAAAACCAAATATACGCGATTTGGATCCAATAAAATGTACTCCAATGGGAAATGACAATTTTTCGTACAAAATAGAATACCTAAGAACTTAACAAAGTACACTTTTCACACAGATCACGTAAAACTAAATGTACAGTAGATGCCCTAAGGTACCTGACCACCTATTCAACCTTTTGGTTCTGAGAGCCTTCTTACGCGTTCAACTGAAAAGTAGAAAGGAATTCCAGCTTTTTGATTGAAATTTGTATTTATGCAATGTAGAGTTCTTATGTTTTATGCGATTATTACACATAGGAAATGAAACTATGTTTTCTGATCTAACTCGCGAAAGGTTGGTTTGTTTGAAAGAACAAATATTGGCAGTTTAGATAAAAAACAATAGTTTCATTTCCTGTAAGTAATGTAATTCAAGTTCGTCACTAATTCTCTAATGATGCAATGAGGAAGTCATACCAAAAGGAATTTTACGGCTCACAGGGTAAAGGTTAAGTTATTTTAACACCTTTCTTCATACTGATCTAAATAGACGGTTATGGTGTTAGGTATCTTAGGGTATCGACTGTATGCTTACCTGTGGGTTTACCATGTTTTAGTGAGAGCTAACATTGAATTTCATAGCCTGTATTGTTACACAGGCTATGGAATTGAATTGGTTTACACAAATATACATAGTAAAAGAGAGTTGTACCCTGTACTCACTTTAAACCCATATTTAGCCATAATTTTAGCAGCTACTGAGCTCGCGCCATATCCGCCTAGTGAAAATCCTGGGCTGCTGATGGGTGCGGGCGGAGGCACGACTGGCGGTGGTGGCGAAGGTGTTTCTGACGTCAGTGACGGCGGTGGCGCTATTGCCACGCCTGCTGAACGCTTTGTGATTTCCTCTGCTTCTTCTTCCTCTGGTTGCTAAGAAACAGAAAAATATTATATACCTAAAGAAATATCTTAAAGCTACTCAATATAATTGCTGTGGATGATGATGACAGTGGTGATATTGATGATAATGATGATGAACAATAAATTGGAATAAGAAAAAGAACACCAGTAACTGGGAGAGAAGAATTGGGAAAATCTATTCTCATTACAATTTGCACAACATCAACATATTGATTGCCCAAAAAAACTCAAACTTACCATAGCTATTAAAGTTTTCTCTGGAATGATATCTTCTTCGTCGCCAAATCGGCTCTTGCGTTTTCTTTCTGATCTATCACTTCTGTCTGGTCCATCCAGTTGTAGTCGCTTCGCCTGCATTTCTGTTCATGCAAGATATTATCTATACATTATCATTTATGATCACATATCATCTATTATCATTCAAAGTTCATACATAGACACTCAATAGGCTGACCTCTTACACTGAAGAATAATATTAAATTTTGAAATACAAATTTTCACATGTTCAACTCATACTATAATTATTATCACGCTAAAGATATTTTTATGGATTAAAAAATAAATTAAAATGTTAAAGTGGTGGATGAAAACACAGCTGCACTTTAAAAACTGCATGCAGCTGCCTACAGCAGTGTCCCTAATGGTTTTGGTACTGTAGCGACCTATCGCTACAGTACCAAAACCATTAGGGACACATTCTTGACAATGTACTCTTGGGTTTGCTGAAAGTTCTAGGGATACTATGCGTCTAATGATTGTACGTGAGCATGTGATGGGTTAAAATAGATAAAGATGTAATACAATAAACTGCTATTTACATAGTCATATATATAAAGAGCATAGAACAAAATAGTAAAAAAAAAATCAAGTATAATGAAGTTTAATAAGCATGTCGTAGGGGAATTTACACCCAGAATACATTCATACTCTTTTTCATTTCAACACCAGCAATTAAAACTATGTTAATTTAAAAATTGCAACTTAAAAACAACAACAACTGGTGAACCAGAGCCTATCAAAGGAAAACTTGAGATAACTTTTTAATTTTCAAAAATAATATATTAATTATTCGTTTTCTACAACTTGTTCAACATATAATTATTATAACAGCCCCCGTAGCAGGGTTACGCATGATAGTCGCGACGCGCGCGATAAAATTGAAATAACCCAATGCTCCACTACCACAACCCAGGCAACCAACGGAGGAAAAGAAGAAAAAGCGGAAACTCATCTCTGGAGCTGCGTCGTCAGTACAACCGAGAGGAGTAGACGAGTGCGACGAGAACGGCTTCAAAAATGTGGAAAAGAAAAGGAACTACACTAGCGGTAACCTTAGTGGCACCGCCCCGACTGACCCCAACCATCTATTGCATCCAGCGGTACCGACGACGTTGCTATACGTGTCACGACTTCATTACTCCACAAAGTCTGCGGATATTGTGGAGTATATACGGGTGAAAGCCAAAGTTGCCCTGAAGATCGAGCAGTTGGAGTCCCGCCACAAGGTGAATTTTAATTTATTTGTGGGTGAGAGTACCAACTCAAAATCTGTCGACCTTCATGAAGGACTATTTTTGGCTGAAGGGTGTCATTATCCGGCATTTCCGAGGACGGTTATTGGACACCCACGTTGCGTCACACGTCGTGGTCCATACGTGTAAATAAATAATATGTTTTTATCATATTATTATGTATGTTACTTTGTAAGGTATCTGTTTTATGAGTCTTTTGTAACCTGAAAATAAATAAATAAAATAAAATAAAAATAAATAATTTTATAATTAGCTTTACATTTTACATTTTGTTCACATTAACAGCAAACGTAATAGATGGTTACATTTTGAGTTTCTTAATTCTTTATCATATTTTTAAGCGATGTATTTGTAATAAATAATGAAACCTCGAGATGTGGGGAATTTGTAGGTAATATGAACTTTGTTCTCCCAAAATTTAGGGCTTTAATCGTGATTTTTAGTGATTTTGAACAATTGGCATTGGCATCGCTGGTAGACAGAGTACTAGTAGTAGTAGTCCTAGTACTAGTAGTAGTAGAGTAGTCCTCACATAGTTCTTAACATCCTGTACCATTGTTCTAGGTTGAATTGTTGTAATATTATTATTCACTTAATAAACATTTATTATTAGTCAAATTTTAGGATTAAAGGGATAAATGAATGAAGATTTTACACATTTTAGATTTCAATTGGCTTATCTATCAAGTTCCATAAATTTAATTTGGTGGATGACCCTAGACGCATACATACCGTTTGTTGGCTCGCATTGCGGCAAGTAAAGCTTTGACGTTTTGCCCCAATGCCACTGTAATGTTTATATCAAGAAAAGCGGACAACGATCCGAACAGCTAATGCGCGCACGACATGACTACATATTATGTTTTACCTTGTTAGGTTTATATTTTATGCAATTATAAATGTATTTAACTTAAAAAATGGATTGTATCTGCATGTTTACATAAGAAAAAATTTATTAATAAAAAAAATTGGAAAATTCAGAAAATTCCAACAATTTTTAAATAAGAATCATGGTCTGAATCCATCTTTTCCGTTTTCGGCAACCTGTTCCTTTCACCCTGTTGTTATAAAGCCATGCTGTAATAAGATGTAAAGTTTACCTTTAGCAACTTTCTCATAATCATTAGGCCACATAGGATCATATTCATTGGCAACATTCCAGTCAAAATCCCTGACATTAAGAGAAGCTGTGAGGGTCTTTGGCTGGTGCTGAGGACTATTGGAATTTGTATCATCCTCATCTCTTGATTTACTCTTCAGATCTATCACTGGAGTTAACACCTTAAATACAAAATCACATGAACATGCATTCTTAGATTGTTTTAAATTGCTGCTTGCCTAATGCATATTATATTTATTTATTACCTGCTTGTGGCAGGTTCATTTCATTAGCTCATTTCCTTTAAAAAATATTCAACAAAAGTACAATAATTTTAAAGCGGAAAGTAAACACGAATTTGATAAACAATAACCAAACTTCTTTCGGAAATAAAACACAACAGTAATTAAAATTAGCTATAAATTTACCTGTGTTGAGCGACGTAATGCTTCTCTCTTTGGCTGTGTTACGGCAGCCTTTTTCAATTGTAGCTGCGACTGCAATAGTTTAATTCCTGAAGACCATCCAGCCACCTTCTCAGTCGTTCGAGCTTTGATAGTGTCAAGATCATCGTACAGGGACATGTTTAATAAAATACGATTTTTTTCTTTAGGTAACGAATACTTTGAAATAGTGCAAAATGGTCCGAATAATGTTTTTATATCACTCTCACGAGTCAAAATTCAGAAGATGGTTTATAAAACTGAAATGATACTTCATTGCAATATTTGTTATTTGTTAAAAGTGACATTGACAATGATAATAGCGATGATGGACGAGTCGAGTTATTTAACACGGTTTACTCGAGTTACTTCTGTAACGAGTCAACTCGAGTTACTTTTTCATGAACTCGAGCTAACTCGTTGGCCCGTCCCGCCCCTCCGCCGAACCGAATACTTCATTCATACAGCGCGTCGCTGACCTTCGAACCACGCTCGAGTAGCGAACGATGGGCGAGTCAAGTTATTCAACTCGAGTTACTCAAAAAACGTATCAACTCGAGCTACACATTGTGAACTCGAGCTAGCTCGGTTCGGTTCACACCGAATCGAATACTTCATTCATACAGCGCGTCGGCCATTCGTTCTCAATCGGCCGATTCGGCGACTGTCGACCATCTGGGCACGCTCGAGTCGCGGTCGGTCGGCCGATCGTGCCCAACTCGGTGAATCGTCGGTTCTAGTTTTACTCGCGACTCGCGGTTGCTCTATCAAACACCGAGTCGAGTTTACTCGAGTTAGCAGTCACGTCAACTCGAGTAACTCGAGTTGAAAAAAATACAACTCGTCCCATCGCTAACTGACAACTAAAACTATATTTTTAGTGCCTTCGAGTGCCTTTGAGTAGGTACTAGCGAGTGCCTTTGAGTGTCACCGAGTGCATTTGAGTGCATGTGAGTACTTTTGAGTGCTTTTGAGTGCCAGCAGAGCCTATGGGTGCCCATGTGCCTTTAAGTGCTTTTGAGTGTCATTGAGTGCCATCGAGTGCCAGCGAGTTCTTTTGAGTGCCTTTAAGTGCCCGCATGTGCCTTTGAGTGCCAGCGAGTGCCTATGTGTGCCCGCTAGTGCATTTGAGTGTCTTTGAGTGCTTTGAGCGCCATCGAGTGCCTTTGAGAACCTTTGAGTGCCTTCAAGTGCCTTTAGGCACTAGCGAGCGCCTTTGAGTGCTCGCGAGTGCCTTTGAGTGCCAGGGAGTGCATTTGAGTGCACGTGAGTACTATCGAGTGCCTTTGAGTACTAGCAAGTGCTTTTGAGTGCCGGCGAGTGCCTTTGAGTCCTTTTAAGTGCCGGCGAGTGTCTTTAAGTGCCAGCGAGTGCCTTTGAGTGCCAGCGAATGCCTTTGAGTGACAGCGAGTGCTTTTGGGTGCCGTTCAGTGCCTTTGAGTGCTCGGGAGTGCCTGCGATTGCCTCCGAGTGTTTTTGAGTGTTATCGAGTGCCTTTCAGTGCCAGCGAGTGCCTTTGAGTGCTAGCGAGTGCCTTTGAGTACTAGCTAGTACCTTTGAGTACTAGCGACTGCTTTTGAGTGTGAACGAGTGCCTTGAGTCCTTTTGAGTTCCCATGAGTGCCTGCGAGGGCCTTTGAGTACCAGCGAGTGCCTTTGATGGCACTCAATGGCAGTCAAAGGCTCTCAAAAACACTCGCTAGTACGCAAAGGCACTCGCTAGTACTCAAACACCGTCTTTGGCACTCAAAGGCACTCACGGGCACTCGAAGGCACTCAATGGCACTCAAAAGCACTCCAAGGTACCTATATATTTGCACAACTCTTATTACTTCAAGTGAATTCGCATAAAATTCAACATAATACTATAAAATTAATTAATATTGACGTTTAAGACTACTCCATCACTCTTGTGTTCAAGTAGTTTTCACTAGAAGCTAAATATGGTGCATTTTGTTATTTCCAGTAGAAGCTGAATATGGATAATTTTTGGGCCTTTAAATTGTGGCAAACAAAATTAAGCAATACTGCAATGACTTAACAGCTTAAATTAAATGTTTTAATTTTTTAATATATCTATACATATCTATACATTTTTTCTGAGTGTTTTTCTGAACGTTCGATCTTCGTATTAATAATTATAACAAACTAGTGGAGTAATTTCACAAAAAATAATTTAATATCAATTCAATAAAAATTTAATTAATATATCTATACATGTCACTACGTTTGTAGAGGTTAACTACGGCCATGCTTGTCATTAGCTCCAACGCTGACCGCGAAAAGCCATGAACTGAAAAAAATTCCGGACATATTTTCGCGGTTTTTGGATTAGACTTTGGATTGTATTTATTGGCATCCATTTATTGGTAAGTCAATGGGCAATTTCCTCTGGCAAATACAAGTAAAACAATACCACTGTTACACTACACACAAAATTGGAAAAAGAAATTCACTACATCCAGTCTAGCAAACGGTGGCATTACATTTTTTAACCGACTTCAAAAAAGGAGGATGTTCTCAATTCGACTGTACGTTTTTTTTGTATGTATGTTACGCGATAACTCCGGTATTTGTGAACTGATTCTCATGATTCTTTTTTTGTTGGAAAGGGGGTGATTCCATAGTGGTCCCATTTCATTTTGAAGAAAATCATCCACCTCGAAGGGTGGCTGTTCACGCATGAAGATTCATTTTTACAAATAGCGCCTAACTTTAATTTAGGAGCAATTACTTTAATGGTTGATTTTGCTATTTCTCCAATTCAAGGCGTTTTTCTCTCAATATACTTTGAGTAGTGAGAACCGATTTTTATCCAGTGTCAAGTCCTATATAGTGGCGAACTAGGGGATATTTCAATAAAACTTAGCAAATAGATGTAATTCCACGTACTTTTGAGGTAGGTTTTTTAGTACTCCGTACTGATCATTCTCATATATATGATTAACCAGTACGTAATACATACTGACACCGTCACGTCGATAATCGTTGAAATAACGCTAATAGCGCCTCCCGTTCTATGTAATATGTATGCTTTTTTATTAAGTGTTTTGGCTTGGATACAAATCCTTTGAGCCATGTTCTTGTTGAATTATCGGGATCCTTATAAAATTTTTTCCATTGTGGTTCTACAACATTATGTTTTCACTTTCCCGTAAATAACTTAGTCCTCTTGTTTGGATTTTAAATAGTCTTTTAAACGGCGGGAGTCAATATTTACGTTTTCACTTTTTCTGATATCACATTATTGTCACTTTGAACAAAAACTTTGAACTTTCAGGATAAATCTTTTGTAATTTGATTTAACATAAGGAACACAGTTCTAACTTTCTTCATCACAATTTCTTTCTTCGTATTTTCTTCATAATATACTTAAAATAAAATTAATCTTTGTAAAAACTGTACTCGTAACTTGAAAAGCCTGCCATTTTCTATGTATGTAAAATCATTGATCTATGCACAAAAAAGGTTATTATTTTAGTTTAAACTTTTATATGCCTGACTTTGCACTTTTCAAAATATTTGTCAAAATACACCTGAATGTTTTTGGTTAATTTTTGTTGACATATTGATCGCCTAAGTGGTAAAATCTTTGTAATGAAACTATGTAATACAAATAAAATCAATAATGGGTGCTATCGGTAGTAAAGATACACGGCGCATTAGTTTTGATAATACGTTCGCCTTTAATACAGCATTGGCAGTGCAAACATCTATGCAAGATGAACATGATGTTTTAGACATAGATAGCATAGCTGTAGTCACTGTACGACATACTGTTACGTTCAAATGTATTTAAAGCGCTTAGGCTGTATTTATTACCTTTTACAATAATTTTTTTACAGGAAACGAAAGACGAACTACGTTTTCCAGATAACAACAAATGCTTGGATTTAGAGAGGCAAGACTGCGAAACCGACTACTGGGGTAACAGAATCGACTATTTGAAAAAGGAACATCGAGTAATTAACAAGATTATTGAATCTGAATATGAAAAAACATTACAAAATACTGGTAAACTACTTGAGCCCAGCAGGTTAACACAGGAAGGCGTGGATAAAATGAAATCGTGCTTTGATTTGCGTAACAAAGTAAATAATTTACCAATTATCTTAATAAAATTAATTTAACCGTCATTTACCCATTTACCTATATAATATTGTGTATATAATTTTCCAGATCTTGCATTGTTATGAAGAAAATCGCCACCAGCCTCTGGTTTGTGCTTCTTTGGTGCAAGCTTTCAGGCAGTGTGTCTCAACCTGCGGCTTTAGTCGTTAAATTGACTTTTTTTTAATCGGAAATATTTTGAATGTTGAAACTTAATGAATTGTAATTGTAATAATAGTATAAAATTGCTGATTTGTTACCTATTTCAAATGCTTGTTTTACTGAATTTAGATGACCTACTGTTGCTTTTAGACACCTAACGTTATTGGATCTTGAGCGATGTGATGGTATTCGGAGGGACACGGAAAAGTGTCGATACTTTTTGGTATCGAGTACTTTTCGATATTTATACTTTTGTACTTGATACTTTTCTGGTATTATTACAGGGTCAAGAGCACGTCAAGCTTGACACCAAGCGTCGTATTCTAGAACTCTACTCAATGCTCAAGTCAGGATTAAACGTAGCGCTTAAATTCTCTTTGGTCAGGATTTGAGTATGGCTTAAAGCACTCGAAATCATACTCAAGTCCCTGCCATTAGGGTTGTATTTCCAGTGCTTGTGTTTCCAGTGCAATCCTGACTTGAGCATTGAGTAGAGTTCTAGAATACGACCCTTAAAATCCAACTCTATTTCGCTTACGATAAAAACGGTTCAAAATTCAAAATGTCAAGCTTGACGTGCTCTTGACAAGAATCGTGTCGTTTCGATTTTTTTCCATCCTCTAAGTTTCGAATAATTCTTACTTATGACACCTCGTATCATAGCGCAAGCCACCTTGCTATTTTTTTAATGGCAAACCATCACAAATGACATGGCTATAGTGTTTGCCACCCTTTGCAAAAAAATAATGAGAATGAAGAAAAATAATTTTAAGCGTTTGAATCATAGATTTAGTATATGGTTTGAATTGACATTTCGCACATGACAACTAACATAGTATTATCCGTATTATCATTTTTTTCCATCCTGTAAGATATTATCTCAAAATTGCTTTAAGTTATATTAACATTACATGTTTAATTTCAAAGTGACAGTGTTATACGGTCATTTTGAAATTAAATCTTATACGAATGACATTCAAATATAGCGAAATTTTGGAGATAAATTATTAATATAAGGCTATTATGAGATAAAATATAATATAACGCACTTTTTGAGTACAGAGACACACTATTAATGTTAATTGTCAAATGCGATTTTCGTTTTCGTTTCGCAATCGATCACGACGGCGACATCACGATCACGATAAAGTCGATCCTAGAGAAAAAAAATCACTACGTTCTAATCTTAAGTAGATAAATGCATTAATTCATAACTAGAGAATTTATGTTGTAATTGTAGGTAATTCATCTGTGCACACGTGTGCGTTGCGAGCAATTTTATCATAATATCTTTTACCTACCTGTAAAATGTCGCCGCCTACCAAAAGTGGCATTTGGAAGTACTTTGAGAAAATAAACAATAATAAAGTGAAATGCAAAATCTGTTTTAAAATTTCAGGTAATATACTTCAAACGTGAAAAAACATCTTAATGCACACCTTGCCTCAACTACAAAAACAATTTACTTACAGGTGCGTTTCATTCAACACTTTTTATCCGAAACTACTCATGAGTACAGGGGGTCTACTTTCGAAAATCTGTTTTGAAATTTCAGGTAATTCTTCAAACGTGAAAAAACATCATAATGCACACCTTGCCTCAACTACAAAAACAATTTACTTACAGGTGCGTTTCAACACTTTTTATCCGAAACTACTCATGAGTACAGGCGGTCTATGAAAAGACGCGTGATGCGAATGAAGCTTCATACTGGATACTTGTCTTTTAATTTTGTCGAATATTACTTATTTCACAGTAATTATTTCGGACAGATGTCGGACGGAGATCGAGAGTAGCCCCCCAGTATCAATACTTTTGTTTCGATGCTGTGTTCCTGAGTATTAGTTTTGTGAACGGTTATAGTCTAATGGTCGTATTCCAGAACTCTACTCAATGCTCAAGTCAGGACTTGAGTATGATTTAAAGCACTAGAAATTATACTCAAGTCCTTGGGTTTAGGGTCGTATTTTCAGTGCTTGAAATAATACTCAAGTCTGCTCAAATCCTGACTTGAGCATTGAGTACAGTTCTGTAATACGACCCTAAGGGTCATATTCCAGCACTCTACTCAATGCTCAAGTCAGGATTGCAATTGAAACACAAGCACTGGAAATACGACTCTAATGGCAGGGACTTGAGTATGATTTCGAATGCTTTACACCATACTCAAATCCTGATTTGAGCATTGACTAGAGTTCTGGAATACGACCCTCAGGTTCGTATTCCAGAACTCAACTCAACTGGGGACTACTCTTGATCTCCGTCCGAAACAATTACTGTCAAATAGAGTCGTATTCTAGAACTCTAGGTACTCAATGCTCAAGTCAGCACTTGAGTATGATTCAAAGCACTACAAATCAAACAAATCAAATAGCATTTTTATGGTCATCTATTCTATAGCTTTATAAACATAGACTATAGATTCCTAAGCTTAAAAAAAAAATTGTCATGACACTGACAATTGCATTTCCTCTGGACTTTCTGTTTTGTTTACATAGATAAATATTTTGGCTTTGAACAAAAATATAAATATTTATTTTTTCCTGGATCTCAAAGAAATCTAACGGTCGAAGGTAAACTTTATATATTTTTGCTTAGTAAATAAATACAGTGTACGTAGCATTACTATATAAATTAATTTGTCTCTCCTTTGTTCTTTCGATAATTATTTGTATTGTAATAAAAGTACGTTTTGTATTCATGAACATGATAAAAACCACTGTTTCATTGTGCCTCAAATGAATGCTCTCTAAAATTTTTAACTCGCTGCCTTAAGCTCTATTAGGTCATAAGACAAGTAAACCCACTTCCATAAATAGCATGCACTTGTGATGCATTTATAATAAACCGAAAGTCGTTTTGTAGGTGCTACTTAATTCCGTGATCGTCAAGACTTTCTACATTGACGTCTTTGGCTTCTGTATTGTGAAATTCACAGGTAAATAAATAAAACATGTGTGAGACACTGCAGGCCCTGAAAGAACAGCTGACAGATGTTGAAAATGAAAGTACGAACACAGAAAGCGGAGAAGTGTATGAGGCAGCAGAACCAGCATTGTTAACCATGCCAGTAGAGGTAAAATATCATATTCTCCTTGCCCAATTTTTTCTTTTAATATTTTTTCAGTAAGAACTTTATTGAAAAGTTCAATACATGTTAATGCAAAATGTTAAAGCATGTTAATGTATTCATCCAAAAAGCACAAAAAAATGTCCAGGGTTAACCTATACATGTAGATGTAGTAACATGTAAAAAAATATAAATAAAACCAAAAAGTTTGATTTAAATTGCTACATCATTGCACTACTGATTTTGCTCGCAACAATTGTTAAAGTACCAGAAATTCACTATATTCAGCTTCTACTGGAAACTTGACAAAATGCACCATATTCAGCTTCTAGTGCAAACTACTTGATCACAAAAGTAATAGAGTGGCCTTTACTGTCAAGATTCATTAATTTATATATATTATAATTATGTTGAATTTTATACAAATTCAATACTCAAGGAAGTAAAAAGGAGTTGTGCAGATATATACAATACAAATATTATAAGTGTGAAAATAAGTATGCCCACCTATTTGTTAATTACCTGGTGCTTATGATGATCATATTGTGAAGGTCAGACCATTAGTAACTATGAAACATCAAATGTAATTTCACTTGATTAGAACTGTACTGATGAACATTTTCTAAGCAACATACCTCATACAATTATAGTTTAAAGTAATATTTATACATATCGCACCCTTAGTAATATAAGGGCACAATCCAAAAAAAGTAGATTTTTGGGAAATTTGGGAATTGATAGGGACTTAAATAATAAATGGGATCAAACTTAAATAACTGCATATTTCTGTTATATTTTTTGTACTATATGGCATAAGCATGTTATTTGAAAAAATAGGTGTAATGTAGGAATCCAGAATCTTAATACGCGATTTTCCAAAAATCTACTTTTTTTGGATTGTGCCCTTATATTACTAAGGGTGCGATATGTAGGGGCAATCGAATTTATTCCCCCTGATAATTTTGTAATTTCACTTATTTCTTAATAAATAAGCAAAATATACAAGTCAACAGGGACTTGTTATTGTGTGGACACTCTACTACATATACGGCTAAGGAAATATTGAAAAGCAATTATATGTCTAATGAGCCGCCAATCCATTTAAAAAAAAACATGCATATAGCAAAGTTTTCTTATTAAACCTCAATATGACGAATCTTTCTATATTTCTTATATTTTAGGATATATGAATTAATTCACATTTCTATAACATGTGAAATGAGGGACCACATATGAATACGAAATTTACGAAATTGGCTTGTAATCGTGGTTTTGTTTTACTTTTACAATTTTCCTTGTTATTTTTACTAATGTTTGCAGGTAAATAATGTAATATATATGTATTTTATTTATTTACTCATTTATACGTTTTTTAAATGTGGTCTCTCAGGGACCATAAATAAAGAACTGTATAATTTATTTATTGTAAACATGTTTACATGGCATTACAGTTCCATAACCAATGCGCCGTGAAACCAAACTAATTAAAAAATAACAATAAAAAAATTTAAAAAAAAAACCAAACACTGAAATAATAAATTAAACTATAGCGCTATACTTGACTCACTATCATCCATCGCTTCACAAAACCTCAGGCATTCACAACACACAGCCGCCCATCGCCATGCAAACAGATCACACTCCGGTGCTGATGCCAAGAGTTGATTGAGCATTGCGAGGGCACGGAGCAGTGGTGAGTTCCTGCGCGATACGGTGCGCACCGGTGGGACTGTGAATAGTTCACGACGTCGCGCTCTTAAAACTATTTTAGGAATGTCTGGGACAAAGAGCCTTACAAGCTGTCCCACTAGCTCAGGACAGTCTGACTCGCCGCGTAATACCTGAGAAACAAATACCAGCAGGTTGTTGTTCCGCCTCACCTCAAGGGAATTATACTGAAGAGTCCCCAGTAAATACTTTGTCGGATACAAAAACGGATAATAGCCGTACATTTTTTTGTAGAAAAATCTAAGGAAAGCTTTTTGAACCTTTTCTATCAAAGATGTATACGTAGCTTCATGCGGGTGCCATAATATGGCACCCGCATGAAGCTACGTATACATCATAAGCG